AAAAAAAAAAAAGAGAAAAAGAAAAAATAAAAATTAAGCATTAAAAAAAAAGCCAGGTAAGGTGGCTCACTTCTGTAATCCCAACACTTAAGAGGGTGAGGCAGGAGGATTTCTTGAGCCTAGGAGTTTGAAACCAGCCTGGGTGACATGGTGAGAACTTGTCTCTGAAAAAAAAAAAGAAAAATTCAAATTCTTGGACTTTATCCCTACTTGCTGAATCAGAAAATGTAGAGTGAGGCCCAGGCAACTGTTTTAACCAGTCATCCAGGTGTTTCTGATACATGCTTGATCCTACCCTGGCTTACTGAGCACTTACTATGATGCCAGGCAGGCCCCTGACATGCATCACCTCGTGAGCTCACAACCACCCAATGCAACAGATATTGCTGCTAACCCTATTCTACAGACAGGGGCAGATGTTTGGAAAGAAGAGTGAAGTAACAAAGATTAACAGGTGGTTCAGGGGTTAGAAACAAATACCCCAGTCTGGCGCAGTGGCTCACACCTGTAATCACACCTGTAATCTCACACCTGTAGTGCTTTGGGAGACCAGGCATGGTGGTGTATGCCTGTAGGACAGGAGATGGAGGATCACTTGAGGTCAGGAGTTTGAGACCAGCCTGGGCAACATAACAAGACCCTGTCTCTACAAAAAATAAAAAATTAGCCAGGCATAGTGGCGCACCTATAGTCCCAGCTACTTGGGAGACTGAGGTGGGAGGATCACTTGAGTCCAGGAGTTGGAGGCCGCAGTAAGCTATGACTTCACCACTGTACTATGGTCTGGGTGACAGAGTGAGACCTTGTTTCAAATAAAAAGAAACAAATACCCCCAACAGATCTGACCAGACCGCAGTGCAGGTATGTTATTTTATCCAGCCCAGTTGGTCTCAGGGAGGGCAGACTAGATCTTTGGGCTGCCAGGAAGTTTGGGGCTAGCTCTGTGCTAGCAGAGATTATAGTCTGTGGAAGACCAGCCAGGAAGAATGAGTCACAACCCAGGACATCCACCCGGGCCACTAGCCCTCCCTGCCTGTCCTTGCCCATCCTACCCCTTCTCACCCTAGTCCTCATTGGCTGGTCCCTTGCCTTTCTCCCCAACCCCATAAGCTCTTTGAGGCAGCTATGAGTATATAAAGTTCACAGTTGTGTCACCTGTGCCTGGCCCAGCAGTTGACATCTAATAAATCTTCAATAAATGTTTACCAAATGAAAGAATAAATTTCTGAAACTATTGCCATCATAATGTGTACATTTTAAAATATGTTCCTAGCAATGTATGTATTATCTGACTTGGTAATTCTACCTCTATCAATTTATTCCAAGGAAATCATCAGACACACATAAAGATGTGTAAGTAAGGAGGCCAGGCACATTGGTTCACGAATCCTGGTACTTTGGGAGACTGAG